GGGGCAGACAAAATGCATGGTTGTTTATAGCAAAGCGAATGGACGTCGCTTAGTGTAACAAAGCCTGGCATATGATATCACAACGTCTAGTTTGAGAATGAAGGTGGAGGCAGTCACTGCTGCCTTCCGCTGGCTTGAGAATCAACTGTACACACATACCGTGATTGTAACTGATTCACAGAGCATGTTGAGAAAGGCGGAGACAGGCATGCTCAGTGCAGAGTGGCAAGCATCAATTAAGAGGTCCCGGGTAGTTAGTATCTTTCTGATATTCTCTCCAGGTTATGCCGGTGTGTTGGGAAATGATCAGGCAGATAGACTGGCCTGTTCTGCACCACCTGATGGTTAATTGATGTACAACAAGCTAGACGTTGTGAGGGCCCCCTGAAAGCGATTGAACAGTGCAGAAGCGTAAATAGATCATTACTGTCTGAGGAGAATGGCACTGCGATGAGTTACCAGGAGATCTGGCCGACGCTTAACACTCAAGGGAAGGGCGAGAGGGATCTACAATTGGAACTTTTCGTTTGCTGCTGAAAATGGACAGAGCGTTTATGGGGATGTCCCGAGGGCTATGATGTCGATTCTTAATTTATCATTCAACTCCCCACCCCGCCCAATACAAGGCGTGAGCTCTTATATTGAAGTCGGCTAATTTTGTACATCAATCCAGAGACGAGATTACAAATATACAAAACCGCAGTTAAAGAAAGTCGCAGTTAGCCTCCATCATCTGGATCTTCACACCTGGTATGCCGGAGTAAGTGGTAATGAAAGAGCTGCTCTGCTGGCAAGAAATGCACCAATGCAAACGGGCAGAAGCACGGACAGAGCTGATATTATCAACGCTGTAAGGACTAGGTTGGGGGATAATGGCGAATGCTGACGTTAACATGACGGCGTGACCGAGGAGTTAAGTTTGGTTAAGCACGTATATTTCATCTTCGAGGTATAGACAGGAGATAATATAACCGACTCCTCATGGGAACTGTCATTAGAGGTAACTTGGTGTGACTGCTGCGTCGGAGCACTAAGCACGCATGGGGATGCCCAATGTGGAAAGAGGTCGATTGTGATAACATAACAACGAACCACCACACTAGGTTACAACCTGGTTTCAGTGAGAAAAAAAGAAAGAAGAAATAAAATAAAACAAAAAATCTTATTACAGTTTTACATTTAACTGGGATTTAATAAACAATGTGTGATACTTTATGAGAAAGTTGTCAGACAATCAATACGTATAGCATGAAATAATCCTGAAATTAACGTATGTTTTTTGGAATGAAGTTAGGGGGCCTCGTAGTCTCGAGGCATGGTGTCCGCCTCGAGTGCTAGACATCCCGGGTTCAAGCCTTGGAGAGAGATGGGATTTTTTTCACGTGGACTTCTACAAAGAAGAACGGTTTACTTATAGGTTACACCCGTGTGACATGATGTTGATCAATTGAATAAACATAAACAGGAATAAAGTTAGAAGGAATTGAACACAAAATATAGCATGAAATAAACACAAACATATGATATATAAATAATCATAATACACACATATAAAATAGATTGAAATACATATGACACAAACCTACACATTTACGATGTTGAAAAAATCATAATTCACACACATATGAAATAGAATAAAACAGATATGATCTAACACATGGTATAGAGTTAGAAATCGTCATTAAATATATGAATTATAATGAAATACACACGATACAAACACTATTTCAGAATAAAAACAAACGCGTAATAAAAAAATATGATACAGAATGAGATAAGCATGTCACAAACAAATGATACACGATGAAATAAGCATGACACAACATATGATACACGATGAAATAAGCATGACACAAACAGATGATACACGATGAAATAAGCATGACACAAACAGATGATACACGATGAAATAAGCATGACACAAACAGATGATACACGATAAAATAAGCATGAAACAAACAGATGATACACGATGAATAAGCATGACACAAACACATGATTCACGATGAGATAAGTATGACACAAACAGATACACGATGAGATATAACACAAATAGATACACGATGAGATAAGCATGACACAAACAGATACACGATGAGATACGCTTGACACAAACAGATGATTCACTATGAGATAAGTATGACACAAACAGATACACGATGAGATAAGTATGACACAAACAGATACACGATGAGATAAGCATGACAAAAACAGATACACTATGAGATACGCTTGACACAAACAGATGATTCACGATGAGATAAGTATTACACAAACAGATACACGATGAGATAAGTATGACACAAACAGATACACGATGAGATACGCTTGACACAAACAGATGATTCACGATGAGATAAGTATGACACAAATAGATACACGATGAAATAAGCATGGTGCAGGGAGGATATCATCACTAACATCCTATCATCATCATTATCATCATCATCATACTCTACGTCATCCCGTTATGTAGAACATCACAGTTTAATTTAGCTTTCCTTTCTATCCAGTCCAACTTTTACAATACAATGGACGGAATCCAATCCCTCACTTAGAATCTCTCTCATCAAATTTCTCCATCTTTCATCAATCAAGTTTTGTCCCACTCAACTGCCTGTTTGGTGATCATCTGCTCGCCTTATCCCTAGGATGTACCCAGTATATCGCCATATTCTGTGTCTTATAATTGTTGATAACATTAGGAAAACAAGTGACGCAGTTGATAACATTACGTGTGTAGATATTTCTCTTTATTCTTCAACTTTCTTGAATTCATCTAATAGATATATATATATAATAGCATTCATCAATTTCCTTAAAAAAAAAAAATCATTTTCTAACGCATTTAACTGTATGTCTATGTCTTTAGTGATTCTCCAATTTTCACTGACATATTTCAAACAGTGACATAACATTACAAATAATAATATGTAGTCTGGTTTTAAAAATATACACTTTAGAGTTGTATATTTTGTGAAGACTTTTAAAGCTGCTTTTGACTTGTCAATTTCCCCTCACTGCACAGTTATGTAAGCGTGAATGAAACACGCTATTAATATAATAAACAAAAGACAAACAGAAAACTGAGATTTTAATGAGGATCTTTTATCCGTTCAAAATATCAGCATACATGTCAGTGAAAATGCCAAAGGAAATCAAGGCGCTCGACAGATGTCACAACTCCAGGCCGCTCCTGATAGATATACCTGAGAAGAAGGAGACATGACATTTCACATTTAAAAGATATGATTTTGTTGTGATAAGTTCATAACAATGAGGATAATTTTAGAGAAAGAAAATACAAGAACACGAGAAGATAGTACAAGAACAGGAGAAGATAGTACAAGAACAAAAAAGATAATGCAAGAATAAGAGAGGATAATACAGCAACAAGAAAAGATAACACAAGAACAAGAAAATATAATAAAATAGCAAGAAAAGATAATAAAAGAACAATAGAAGATAATCAAATAACGAGAACAGATAATACAAGAACAAGAAAGGATAATACAAGGAGAAGGTAAAACAAGAACGTTCTCGTCAACGTTTGTTTTGGTGCTTTCCTGTAACAGATTCGCTTCCTCACTCTATTTGCATTACATTTCAGTACCTGTTTGGTAAATCACTGTCAGCCTTTCCTAAGGATGTGTCCAATATATCGCCACCCTGGTTGTCTTATTACTATTGAAAGCAGTGGCTGTCAAGGCAGTTCTTTTGTTTTTTGCCTTTGAAACATCAGCAAGACAAGTTTGAACCTTTCTGCTCCATAAATTTTTTTTTTTTTAAAAGGAGAGAATTAAAAAGACAAGAAAGAAATTACCATCAAAAGACCGGCTCACTACACTCAGAGGAAAGGCAAGACGTATATATAACCAGATTTTGACAGGTACCATTAGTATTGGAACTCTGCACTGGCTGCTGAAGATGAGGACAAAGCGTGCATGGGAGTGCCCCGAGTGCTGTGATGTTAATTCTTGACTCAACCTAACTCAGCTCAAGACAATCTTATTATTCTCAGAAAATCTACTTTGAGAAACTAGAAGAATTGAAAAAGCAGCAGAGGAAATTTGGGGTCTATTACTTTTTTTTTTTCTTCAAAATTGACGTACAGTGGGAAAGCATAGAATTAGGTGAGTGTGTGTGGCAGGTGGTGGTAGTGGTGGTAGTGGTGGTGGTAGTGGGGGTGGGAGCTCCAACACATAGACCACAGAGTAGACATGTCTGCGCGAAGTTCTTTGCTTCTTTGATGACGTCTCGTCACAGACACACACAGATATTTGACCCCGTCACTGAATGTATGGGAGCCGCCGTGGTGTAGTGGCTAGACGCTCGCCTGTTGATTAGAAAATAGTCTGTTCGGGTCCCGAAGGAGCCGAACTTTGTGTTTTTTTCATTAATGACCTTGACTCCCAGGTGGACCCAGCCTTAAGTCGGTAACAGGTGCAGTCCTGGGAAGTTAAGGGCGGGATGCTGACCACATCATCCACCAAATGCCGTTTGGTCTATAAAATACAGGTCTAGCCCTATATGCCTAAAACGCATAAAGGCGCGGAAAAGCGTTCTCTACTTTTACTGAATGTATAAATCGGAAACAAATCGTTTTGAATGTCAAGGGAATTAATTAGGGAATGCAAATATAGCTGAAAATTAAGTGACGTGAATCCCTTCGACCATTTATTAATGGCTTGGGTCAATTGCCACAGATAGCAATGTGATACACAAATTTATTTATGTGTTACTGTAGCGTCATTGTTAAAAAAAAACAACGGGTCCTCCTCCAAAAATATGTGGAATGTGTGTGTGTGTGTGTGTATGCTGTAAATATAATCATACCCACCATATGTACACACTATGCATCGAGTAACAATGTATGTCATACAAGCTGACTAGGCACTGTCCAACGGCATCGTGTCAATCAAAACCCTTAAAATCCAGAAAAACTGCTTTAACTTTGTGAGAAACATGGCAAGAAGAATGTAAAACAAAAGCAAGAAGACGCAAGAAGGACCGATGATTGCACACCTACCATGTTGTAATTTTGCTCTTGCAAATATTCTTCTCTTCCCAACCTTTCTTTCCTGCAAAACAAAAAATTTATCGTCAGTTTTATCGGAACAAAACGAAGACATCTTTGTCTTACTGTATATTTGCCTTCTTCACATAATTATAGTTACTTGCTTACTTACTTTGTCGCTGCTCTTCTACCTTGGGGTACAGAGGTTTGCAAGAGAGTTCGCTGTCTTCTCTATCAGCAGTTTTTTTTTTTTTCTGGCTTTGTTGTATGTTTCGTGTTCCGTAAATCGTAGTCCGTCAGCCATGTTAGTTCGTCGCCGTTAAGGTCCGTCCGATTTCCCATCTGTGGTAACTTGTAATCGTAGTTTAAGGCAAAAAGGTGATTGGCCTGTTGTGCCTTTGCACGGTTGAGGGGCTGCCTCCTTGAGGTCTAAATGTAGACCTTCTGGCTGATTCACGGTTAACCCACTACTTCCGGAGACGCATGAAGCACTCAGGTTCGACCAGACCCTCCTCCTTTTACAGCCAGGCTGGGGACCGATCTTAGCAAAGTTTTCACTTAATTATAAAGTTAAATATTTCTAAATAAATACTATTTAACGATATGTTTACACTAAGAACAGCCCGAACATAGTAACTACTGCGTGTGCCAAATTACTTAAACTACTATAATTATTGACATTGTTGCTAACATTGTTGCTACTACTGCTGACTGGCAAACGCGAATAAAAGTCGCTTAGTACAAAAGAGAATGGCATAGGATACCACAACATCAAATTTGAGGACAGAGATGGAGGCAATCCGCTGGCTGCTGCTACTGCTGCTACTTCTGCGGCTGCTACTACTACAGACATGATAGTCTTATTATTTTCTTCTTCTTCTACTTCCGCCAACATGATTATATTTAAAGAAAGAAGCTTGTTAAGTACTGAATACATTTTTTTTTTTAGCTTTGAGGTTTGAGGTTTGAACCATGGATCACCATCATAGCACACGGGTAGTAACTCATAAGTGTCCCGTTCTTCTTCTAACTGAGAAGAAAGAAGCTCAGCACAGTGTACAGGCACTATAGCACCGGCGAGGGTTATGAAATACTTTGGGTAGATTTTTAACTTCAAATTTTGCCCGTTAAGCTACTCTTTTTAATTTCCAATTGCCAAGTGATTTTTTTCAACAATCTACACGGGCGTCCGATTTCACTACTTAGAGACGGGGGTAGGGGTGGGCGGGGTTGGGGGAGGGGATTACAAGAAGTCCAAGTCCACGTGAAGAGAAAATCCCAGTCCTTACCGGGAATTGAACCTAGAACCTCCAGCACTGGAGTTGGACACCACGCCTCGAGACCACGCAGCGCCCTATTTTTTTAGCCTAACCGACACTACAGCCAAGCTAGCTAGAAATAATTCACTGCTAGAATTGAACCCTGACCACTTAACTCTTTAAGTAACAAACAAGGAACCATGTGTGACTGTATATTGCTCAGGTTAAACAGTCACATGCTATGTTTGCATACTTTACATTAACAAAGGGTATACCAAAACTGTATTCGACACATCCTGAGAAAAAGCCACCATCATTATCATTACCAGGTGCCTTGCTGACTGGTGTGGGCGATCATGCCTCTCCACAATCTGGAATTTACTGCAGCATGTATCAGTTCGTGTGCTGACACACCTCCGTGCCATGCAACAAGACTGTCAAGAATTTTCTCTCATTGTCTACCTCTATCCCTCTTTCCACAAATCATTCCAGTGATCACAACATGTTCTATTTTCCCTCTTCTCATAACATGGCTGAAAAATGATGACTGTTTCCTTCTGATGTCTGTGATGAGTTGTCTTCGGGCTCCCGCCTCTTTCAAAACTCCTTGTTTGCTCTTTTTGGCTCTCTAATGTAAAAGCTAGCATAGGAATCTCTACACAGGCATTGAAATGGGAAATAAAGGGATTGAGGAGGCTAATACGCCCCCCCCCCCCCCAAAAAAAAAACACGCTAAAACGAACGTTGATGAGAGAGGCCAAAGCTGCTGGATTGGATTTCATCCATGATATTGAAGTGACTGCACAGGATAGAACGGAATGGAGGAATAGACTGCAAGCCCTGTGTGATATATGACACACCCCCGTGTGGGTTCCGGGGCCCCATTGTGGGGGAAAACAAGAATAGACCCACTGCCTCCCCAAAAGCATGTCGCAAGAGTCGACTAACTGGGGAGCTTTCTTTGAAGTCGGAGTGCATCTGCCGGAGAGGCAAGGAACCAACAGTCTGTATTTGATACAATGAGATCTGTAGAACTGATGCACACGCAACACTCAGGTCCTGGAGCAGGACTGCAGTTCAGTAGTGAACGAGCAACCAGAACTTTCTGCCAGAGTGTACAGCTGGTGAACGCGAAGAAGAAGAATAATAATGACACAAAAGAGCAATGCAAAAATAAGTGAATGAATGAATACTAAAGCAGGCCAAAAACGTGCTTTATATTTGGCTCCTCTGCATTTAGCGCCACGGCGGATTAGACACACTAATAGCGGAAGGCAGGCTACCAATAGAGCTTTTAGGTAGACTGAAGAGCAACGTTCTGCATATGATCTGCTACATAATGGTGACAGGGAAGATGTAGTGAATGCTAACGTTTGGTTGTCATCATTATTGCCACAGTCAGGAATCAGATGTGATCATTTCGGACTGAGAAAAAAATAACAGACTGGTGAACTAATTAGTGCTCTATTAACATCTTACCCCAAACAGGGAAAATCAACAGGTCACGGGAGAGTCTAATATTTTAGGGGGTGGTAGATAGGCTGCATGCAGTCGTGGGACCTAGGGTGCGTGCAGTAGTGGGATCTAGGCTGTACTCTTTCGTAGGACGTAGGTAGGTTGGGGTTAGGGTCAGTTCTAGATGTTTTGGGGTCTATAAAAGCGTCAGAAAGCCAGGAAACCTTTTCTTACCCCCCCCCCCTCTAAAATGTTACACTGTTCTGAGACGTCATCTGGGGTAGGATATTAATAAAGCACCAACTAATTACTGTCACTTCACAGCTTTACAGTAATGAATCATTATCATAAATTTTCACTTCTGTCGTTAATCGACATGGTTAGGACCAGTAGACAGCAATGGTTGCTATCATTCTGCGTCTTAGCTCTTTAACGTCATCAATCCGTACTCTCCAAGGGCGACCTCTTAGTTTCATATCTGATCTTTTCATGTGTAGGGCCTGCTTTGGTAGTTGCTCTGGCTGCATTCTTAGTAGAAGACCAAACCATTTGATCACCTGTTTCTAAATGAATGTGCGGCATGCTGTTGTTTCCACTGTCTGATAATATCATTTCTAATTGGCTACTTTTATCAGGAATCTCATTTCAAAGGTTTTGATTTTACGTATGTTAGCATTTGATAATGTCCAAGTCTGGCACTGGTAGCACAGCGTTGATATGAATATGTTTTATATAATCTGTTTCATGGCGCTCATACTTATGTTTGGATGTCTTAATAACTTTGTCTTAACAAAAGTAATAAACAGACTTACAAATTGAAGGATGAAACGTAGTTCCTTGGCTTCCATCTTATGGACTGTTGACTTTGCACGATAGTACAGAATGACCAGTCTGAAGATGTGAAAATAACGTATGTATGGATTGTGAATTGTGTGAATAGCAGTGACGTTTACATAAAGACAATTGAAGCATGTGTTGTCTAAATGGTTTCGTTCTATCTACTGATTACACTGTTCTATTCATTTATCCGTTCGTTCAGCCTTTTACATTAAGGTTTATTTGGTCATCATCATCATCACATAGTAGGTCGTTTGTAGAACGTCGCTCTCATCACCGTCTGCCTGAAAGAAACTCGGTCTCTCGTCAGCTCTCCCGCCTCATGTACTTTCATACTCAAGGAGTCCTTTATATCCTGTGCCCATCTTTATGTTGGTCAGCCCTTGCCTCTCCTTCCTGGTACCCTGACTTCTACTATTATTTTTTTCCAATATACCACAGGGCTTGATACAACCAACATATTTCAGCTTCCAGGACAGTATGCTGTTTATTAGCCAATCTTCCTTGATGTCTGGTACACATCGATTACACAAAACATAATAGAGTGAATAATAATAATAAATAATGTAGTAAAAGAGACTTTGTCACGCCCTTCGACGTATGGGGTACATAGTGCATGACCTATATAGGTTAGTTGCGTATCCTTTACAGGACGTTGCAGAACCAACCCCAACAGCCCCTGGCTTCTGTGTGGTTTTTCTAGGCAAATTTACGTCCAGTAGTTTGCCATTGCTTTCTGGACTGTCGGCTTTCTTGTCGAAACCAACGTAAGGCGCATGGCCCGCAGCTGGGATCAAACCTGACATCCCGTCATTTAGAAGCGTTCGCATCGACTTAGCCACACAGCCGACTGACCTATATAAACCCGTATTTAATAGACCAATCGGCACTTGGCGGTCAGGATCATGCAGGTCATCTTTACTTCCCATGACTTTACCAGGGATCCGTGTAAGGCGTGGTAGACCTGATCGGTGCCTGCCATCTTCGGATACGTAGGCGAGCGTCAAGCGGCTGAAATAATTAAAATAATAACATTGCTTTTAAAATTATTATTATTAATATCAAATGGTGACAGTTTGGATAAGAATTATGATGATAATGATGATGAGAACAATGACGATAATAATTCCTATAGGTTTTAGGTTTAGACAACGTATCAACATCATGCCACAAGAGTAGCAACCTATAAGCGCTCCATTCTACTTCTAACTCAAGACTGAGCCCGAAGAATCTCAGCGCAGTGCTAGAATCCTGAAATATTTTGGGTATATTTTTAACTCGAAATTTTGCCCCGGCAGCACCATTAGGCTACTCTTTTTCGATTTCCAACAACCAAGGGGTTTTTTGCGTGCGCAACAATACACACGGGCGTCCGATCTTACTACCCAGAGACATGGGGAAATTACTAGAAGTTCACGTGAAAAAATCCTAGCCTTCACCGGGGCTTGAACCCGGGACCTCCAGCACTCGAGCCGGACGCCATGCCTCAAGACCACGCAGCCTCCAGTGATGCCTATAAAGTGACGATGAAGATGTTGATGTTGATAAAGATGACTAGAATAATTAATTCGCAAGATTTTGATATAAGACAATCAGCCCCTAGTGCACGTACAAGAGTACAATCAGTGCTGGAATCACAACAGCTGGAGTGCTGGCGTAGGTGAAGATGTCTTGTATCCAGTCGGGTGACTCTCCGATTCTGTCTGTAAGTACTTCATAAAAGTGAAAATTCTCTTTGAAAGGACCACATGATGCTGATGGTTCTATTCTGTGGACAGACAATATTATTCGTCTAATAAGAAATGTTTTTACAAGTTATATATATCTTATGCTGATATTCGGATGTTGATCATGGACATTTAGTAAATTGGGACGTATTTGAAAGCTGCAGAGATGTGGTTTTATAGACGAATGGTAAGAATACCCTGGACAGAAAGAGTAATGAAGACGTCTCGAAAGAAACAGACATACGAAGAGAACTGATTGCCCACATCAGAAAGAGACAATACAAATTCTTTAGTAATATAATAAGAAGGAGACAACTGGAGTACATTGTGACGGTAGGAAAGTTGGAGGGGAGGAGAGGCAGAGGGAGACAGAGAGAACAGATGCTGGACAGTCTGACATCATAAAATGGAGGATTATCTGTGTCAGCGTTAACTGAAAGTACACGAGACAGAAGGTTGTGGAGAGACATGACTACCAACGCCATAGGGCATGGACTTGAAGAAGAGGAAGAAGAAGAAGAAGAAGAAGAAGAAGAAGAAGAAGAAGAAGAAGAAGAAGAAGAAGAAGAAGAAGAAGAAGAAGAAGAAGAAGAAGAAGAAGAAGAAGAAGTTTGCAAAAACAAACGACTGAGAAAAATAATGACCATTAAAATGCAGAAGTGTGAAGAAATGAGAGAAACTGACTGACTTACTTACTGCCTAACTAGCTAATTAGCTAAGTAACTGACTGACTGATTAACTAACTAATTAACTGACTGGCCAATTAACCAATTAACTAACTACCTGTTTCTTCTCATCCTTGAGATAGGGGCTGCGTGGTCTCGAGGCATGGTAGCCGCCTCGAATGCTAGAGGTTCCGGGATCCAAATCCCGGCAAGGGTTGGGATTTTTTTTTTCGTGGACTTGGACTTCAAGTAATTCTCCCTTGTCTCTGGGTAGTGAGATCGGACGCCCGTGTAAATTGTTGCGCACGTTAAAAAAAAAAAAAAAATAACTTCGCAGTTGGAAATCGAAAAGAGTAGCACAACGGCGTTGCCCGGGCACAAATTGGAATTACAAATCTACGCAAAGTATTTCAGGATCCTTGCCGGTGCTACAGAACCTGTGCACTGTGCTGAGCTTCTTCGGACTCAGATTTGAATTACAAGAAGAACGGAGCACTTATGGGTTACTATACGTGTGCCGCCCTGAAAAAAAGGGGAGGGGGTGGGGGGGGGGGGATAAACCTAAAAATTACTATAAACAAAAAAAAAAAAAAAGCACATCATGCTGGACAAATGTAAGAAGTGTCTGGGCAACCACTAGTAGCAACAGCATTAAGATAAAGAAGGTGGCGCGCTATATGGGACACAACCTGAGAAAAAACGAGCATGGAATCACCAGACAAGCACTGGGATGGGAAATAAAGGAAATGAGGAACCAAAGACGCCCTAAAGAAACTCTACAACGAACAGTTTTTATATTCTTGTCTGCTTATTGTCAGAGGAGCGTGTAATTCTGCTACTTGAAGAAGGGACACACTCATTTAAAAGATTGATAAAATAAAAGAGAAAAATTAGAGATAGAGAGAAAAGAACAGAACATAACAGAGAGCGAATAAGAAAGAGAAGGATGGGCAGAGACGGTAGGATGGATTGTTGGAGAGAAAGAGATAAGATGAACAGAGAAAGAGGGGACAAGCAGTAACAAAAATGGAGAGAGAGAGAGAGAGACAGAGAGAGAAAATTCGCGACTGGTTATGAGATACAGGCGAGAGACTGGGGGTGAGAGAGAAAGGTGAGCGTTAGTGAGTGTGGGAGAGAGGGGATTATAGAGTGTGAGGGTGGTAGTGAATGAAAAAGATGGAGAGAGATATGGAAAAAGGGGTAGAAAGAGCGACAGACGAATATAGATATCTGAGAGAAAGACAGAAGCAGACAGATGGGCAGAGTGAGAAAGAGGTGGAGAGATTGAGAAAAAAAGAGGTAAAAGGAGAATGAGACAGTGAAAGAGAGAGAGAGAGAGAGCCTGAATGAAAATACCCAACTAACAACCACAACACGACTCAACAAACGACCTTGACTTACTTAATGATGGCGTAGGTCATGGGCAGAAGACAAACAAACAAGGTCACCAACAACACGAACAGGTAAAACGTTCCGGATCTCGATGCCCGGAACACCTTGTCCGGAGCCACACAACAGGTCCGGGCCAGCACAAAGTTGAAATAGAACAGGATTGTCAGCTTTAGAAAACCCACCAGGGCCAACATTGGAGCGAAGAGAAGGCCCAGCCACACCAGAGCTTGTCCGTAGACCAGGTCCAAAATGAAGTTCTCCACACTGAAATTTTGGTATCCGAGCTAAAATGTTTGAAAGAAAAGGATGTATATATATATATATATATATATATATATATATATATATATATATATATATATATATATTAAATGCATAAACAAATTAATGCTGACCACATTACCCGCCCAGTGCCGACTGGTCTGTAAAAATATGGGATGCTCTTCCCATACACTCGATGCGCCCAGGGCGTGAAAATGGATCTTTACTTTTTTTTTCTTTATACACATACGTAGACTATCTCCTAGTCCTTAAAAACGAATAGGGGCTTTTGAGCCGAAATGCAACAACAACAGTGAAATTTATACAAGAGACAAAATTGCTGACATAGACAACTTATTTCAGGCGAACGAAAGAAGAAGAAGAAGAAGAGCCGAAATGCTATAGAAAGATTTTCAGAATAATGACACCATGAAAGATCTAAACATCAAGGAAGATTGGCTAATAAACAGTATCCTGTCTCGGAAGCTGAAATATTTTGGTCATATCAAGCGCCAAGACGGATTGGAAACAAAAAAAAAAAAAACAAAAAAAAAAAAACAACGCATGGTACCAGAAAGAAGGGGCAGGGGCCGACCGACACGAAAATGGGCACAGGATATAAGTGACTCCTTGAATATGAAAGTGCATGAGGCGGGAGAGCTGGCGAGAGACCGAGTTTCTTTCAGGCAGACCGTGATGAGAGCGACGTTCTGCAAAAGATATGCTTCATGATATATATATATATATATATATATATATATATATATATATATATATATATATATATATATATATATATATATATATATATATATATGCATATACAATGGACCCTTTTCCACGCTTTTAGGTTGTCGTCATAGTTGAGTAATTCTCTTCATTTTGAGGATGACATTTTTCGTTATTTAAAGCCCTACTCTGGCTTTTGCCAGGGGCCGCAATATAGCTTGGCCATAAATATGTCCTAAAGGCTGAACGCGGTTTCTGGGACCTCTCCACGGTGATACTTACCCACATGGAGGCACATTGTGTCATCGGGTGTTTATCGCTTGTGTGATGTCCTGTCGGGGTAGAAAGTCAGTCAGTCAGTCAGTCAGTCAGACGCCTTTAGGCGTATCGAGTAGACAGGACTTGACCAAATGGCACTTGGTGGGTGCTGGTACCCACTCGGAGCTGGGTCGACCTAGGAGTCAAGATCTTTTTTGAAAAACAAAGTCAAGCCCCCGTCGGGACTCGGACCAACGACATCCCGATCCATAGGCAAGCGTCTACACATACATATACACAAACACACATATATGTATATAACAAAGAATAAACACACACACAAAGATACACACTCAAAGAAGGAAATAATAAAGAGCGGCATGTGAGAAAGAGAAGGGAGAGGGGGAGGGGGGAGAGATACAGAGAGATAGAGAGAGTCAGAGAGAGAGAGAGAGAGAGGGGGGGGGAGGTGTGGAAAGATATGTATAAAGATAAACAGAAAAGGGCAGGAGTTAGGAAAGAGCAAGAGAAAAGAGGCAACAGAAAAGGTACGGATAGCAAGAGGCAGTAGGGTTGATTGCTGGAGAAATGAGAGAAACGGGAAGAGACAGAGAGGGAAAAAAAGAGAGAAATGGATACAGAGATCTATAGAGAGTGTGATATGTATGGGCGAGGTGTAGGAATGTTTGAAGTTAAGTCAAGGACCCTTTTCCCTGTCTTCATGCGTAAAGGGCATATAGGGTTTGATCTAATTTTACAGTCCAATCAATCTTCACTCGTTGGGCGACGTGGTCAACATGGCGCCGCCGGCGGCTTTTACCGTTCTCTTCATTTATTTCACTCCATTTCGTTAACTCCCAGACTTCGAAGCGAATTTCCTGGAAAGTCCAATAGTATAGGGGTGTTAGGATGTGAAATAAACACCGACTTACACGAACCCCAACACACACTGCCTTTGATATTGGACTTCACGAGAATTCCCTAAGAAATCTCTAAACCCCTGAAATGGGGCGAAAAAAAAAAAAAAAAAACCCGAAAAGAACCAACAGGACTATATCTAATACCCATTTAGGGCTATATCGACCTGGAAGCCAAGATCGTGTTTGAAAAAAAAATTTGAATTTGTTTTGGATCCTTCTGTTTGTTAGACCCTAAGCAGTAGCTTTTTAGCTTTTTTTTTAGTATTGCGCTAAACGATTGCTTACTTTTTTTAAGTTGGTGAACTTGACCAGTAGAGTACGACCTCCGGTCAAGGCCAGTCCCAGGACCAAGGTGATGGCCAGGTCAAGGACAATGACCTGGAAGAGCTGCTCGCCCACCTCGTTCTCCCAGCAGCAGTAAGTGTGGTTCTGTGAGGGGAGATACTAGACACGTGTGAGGGGAGACACTAGACACGTGTGAGGGGAGACACTGGACATATGTGAGGGGAGACACTAGACACGTGTGAGGGGAGACACTGGACACGTGTGAGGGGAGACACTAGACACGTGTGAGGGGAGACACTAGACACGTGTGAGGGGAGACACTGGACACGTGTGATGGGAGACACTGGACATATGTGAGGGGAGACACTAGACACGTGTGAGGGGAGACACTGGACACGTGTGAGGGGAGACACTGGACATGTGTGAGGGGAGACACTAGACACGTGTGAGGGGAGACACTGGACACGTGTGAGGGGAGACATTGGACATGTGTGAGGGGAGACACTAGACACGTGTGAGGGGAGACACTGGACACGTGTGAGCATTGTAACATCTAACGTTGTCGTCATCAGCATCTTCATCATCATTATCATCATCGTCATTAACCACCTCATTGACATCATTATCTTCATCAATATCATTTTCATCATCATCATCTTCAGTATCATTATTATCATTATCGTCGTCATATCGTCGCCACCACTGCCACCACCATCATAATACTTATTATCAACATCATCACAACCATTATCAACATTACCACAGCCATCATTATCTTCATCATCATCCTGTAATGCCATTATTCGTCAGCGTCGTGATTTCATGTGCTTAACGCTCTTGACATCTTTAACAGCAATATTTACAGGTTTCCAGACAATGGCATAGTTACTGTAATTTCTATCACACCACGTTTACCATTCTCTTTTAAAGCCTCCCACCCCTCTACCCCCCCCCCCTTTTTTTTTTTTAGCCCCAAGGGCACTATGCAGGAGACAAAGAAGCAAAAGTTACCGAAACAAACTTGGTGTCGTGAGCTGTTACATGCTGCGAGATCTACTGAGAAAGGATCCCTGCACTTACAGACTGAATGATTTGATGTGCAGCGCGGATAATTTGTCGACCGTCTGTCTGTCTGACTTACTTACTTACTTACTTACTTACTGCCTAACTAGCTAATTAGCAAAGTAACTGACTGACTGATTAACTAACTAATTAACTGACTGGCCAACTAACCAATTAACTAACTGAGTGACTGACTAACTAATTAACTATCTAACTGACTGACTGAGTGACTGACTAACTAATTAACTATCTAGCTAACTGACTGAGTGACTTACTAACTAACTAATTACCTGACTGGCCATCTAACCAACTGACTGACTTACAGACTGACTGACTGACTAAGTAACCAACTGACTGACTTACAGACTGACTGTCTAAGTAACCAACTGACTGACTTACAGACTGACTGACTAAGTAACAAACTAAATGACTGACAGACTGACTGACTAAGTAACCTACTGACTGACTTACAGACTGACTGACTAAGTAACCAACTGAATGACTTACAGACTGACTGACTAAGTAACTAACTGACTGACTTACAGACTGACTGACTAAGTAACTAACTGACTGACTTACAAACTGACTGAATAAGTAACCAACTGACTGACTAACTAATTAACTATCTAACTAACTGACTAAGTGACTGACTAACTAACTAATTAACTGACTGGCCATCTAACCAACTGACTGACTTACAGACTCACTGACTAAGTAACCAACTGACTGACTAACTAACTAAATAACTAACATAACATATCCGTCACCGTCTCATTTGAAAACTGCTGACAAAAGAAAACCATTTTTTTTCTATCTTGTAGGATCCGATATTTAATTGGCACATTTCCGTCTTTCCAGAAGATAGTGTTATACTGCGCTATGAGGAGGCAAGGGGTTCACAACCTATGGCGAGTGTGACTAGCAAGACCCGCCTGCGCAAGTTTCTGAGATAAGGGATGAAGTTCATCTTCTCCACAGCACAAAGCCTTAGCAGTATTGTAGAGACCATATGTTACCCACACATCATGATCCATCAATCGACCTGCCTTGTTTACTAAAAAGGAAAGGTAACACCAGTACGTTTGGAACAAAGCAGGCTGCAGAAGCTGCCGGATCAGAAGAGCAGTGCTCTATCTGTTCGCCTGTCAGCTGCCGGATCAGAAGAGCAGTGCTCTATCTGTTCGCCTGTCAGCTGCCGGATCAGAAGAGCAGTGCTCTATCTGTTCGCCTGTCAGCTGCCGGATCAGAAGAGCAGTGCTCTATCTGTTCACCTCTCAGCTGCCGGATCAGAAGAGCAGTGCTCTATCTGTTCGCCTGTTAGCTGCCGGATCAGAAGAGCAGTGCTCTATCTGTTCGCCTGTCAGCTGCCGGATCAGAAGAGCAGTGCTCTATCTGTTCGCCTGTCAGAGCTTCCCTCCTAGACCAGCTGCCAGCCAATGCTAAGGGCCAGGTCTGCCCTGCCATAGCATAGAGTTTTCAGGTTTCATTTCCTCTTCCTAAGATAAATGTAATATTGAGATCAATGCACTCCTCCGCCGGAAGCGGATGGCACAGTATGCGATACCAGTTTTTGGTATACGCCGCCCAACATTCGGCGTTAACAGAAGTATTCGATATGTGAATGGAATCGAGTCCAGCAGCTTTGGCCTTTTCAATTTTGCCGTCTTTCTTGCTTTCATTCATTCATTGGCGAAGTGTTCAAGCTGTTCACCTGGCGCTCTGAAGGTGGTAGTTTCGTTCTGCGTTTGCCTCGTTCAATTCACCAGTGGTTTTTACAGAGACACCATGGAGTCTTCGCCAGAGTTACGGTGTTCGCGATTTGTGTGACACTCTCGGCAGGATGCTGGGTGTTCTACGGACAGAGAATGAGCAATAACCCTATCTAACCTACAGGAAGTCGATCCTCCCGACTTTAACCTTTTGAGCATAGCAATTATTCATTCATTCAATAATACATATATTCATTCATTCAATAATTCATTCATTTGTTCATCTTTCTTTTCTTTCTTTCTTTCTTTCTTTCTTTCTTTCTTTCTTTCTTTCTTTCTTTCTTTCTTTCTTTCTTTCTTTCTTTCTTTCTTTCTTTCTTTCTTTCTTTCTTTCTTTCTTTCTTCTTTCTTTCTTTCTTTCTTTCTTTCTTTCTTTCTTTCTTTCTTTTTCTTTCTTCTTTCTTTCTTTCTTTTCTTCTTTCTGTCTTTCTGTCTTTCTGTTGTCTTTGTATTTCTGTCTTTCTTTCTTTCTTCTTTCTTTCTTTCTTTCTTTCTTTCTTTCTTTCTTTCTTTCCCTTTCTTTTCTTTCTTTCTTTCTTTCTTTCTGTCTGTCTGTCTGTCTGTCTGTCTGTCTGTCTGTCTGTCTGTCTGTCTGTCTGTCTGTCTGTATGTCTGTCTGTCTGTCTGTATGTCTGTCTGTCTGTCTGTCTGTCTGTCTGTCTGTCTGTCTGTCTGTCTGTCTGTCTGTCTGTCTGTCTGTCTGTCTGTCTGTCTGTCTGTCTGTCTGTCTGTCTGTCTGTCTGTCTGTCTGTCTGTCTGTCTGTCTGTCTGTCTGTCTGTCTGTCTGTCTGTCTGTCTGTCTGTCTGTCTGTCTGTCTGTCTGTCTGTCTGTCTGTCTGTCTGTCTGTCTGTCTGTCTGTCTGTCTGTCTGTCTGTCTTTCTTTCTTTCTTTCTTTCTTTCTTTCTTTCTTTCTTTCTTTCTTTCTTTCTTTCTTTCTTTCTTTCTTTCTTTCTTACTGGCCATCTTTGTTGCCATCGTTTCTTTCTGCCCTGCTGTCGTTCGGGTAGTATTTCTTCCATTATGTGCCGATACTTACTGTGGTCTGTGTGCTCAGGCACTGTGTGGACACCGAGTAGACAGAGATCAGAAACACGACCAGACTGGCAACGTCAAACACCACGGTCCTGCAATTGTCATGTCACAACACGATAGTTAAACACTCTCAATGAGAAAGGTGAAGACAACGTCAAACACCACGGTCCTGCAATTGTCATGTTGCAACACGATAGTTAAACACTCTAAAAGAGAAAGGTGAAGACAACGTCAAACACCACGGTCCTGTAATTGTCATGTCGCAACACGATATTTAAACACTCTCAATGAGAAAGGTGAAGACAACGTCAAACACCACGGTCCTGTAATTGTCATGTCACAACACGATAGTTAAACACTCTCAATGAGAAAGGTGAAGACAACGTCAAACACCACGGTCCTGTAATTGTCATGTCACAACACGATAGTTAAACACTCTCAATGAGAAAGGTGAAGACAACGTCAAACACCACGGTCCTGTAATTGTCATGTCACAACACGATAGTTAAACACTCTGAATGAGAAAGGTGAAGACAACGTCAAACACCACGGTCCTGTAATTGTCATGTCACAACACGATAGTTAAACACTCTGAATGAGAAAGGTGAAGACAACGTCAAACACCACGGTCCTGTAATTGTCATGTCGGAACACGATATTTAAACACTCTCAATGAGAAAGGTGAAGACAACGTCAAACACCACGGTCCTGCAATTGTCATGTCGCAACACGATATTTAAACATTCTCAATGAGAAAGGTGAAGACAACGTCAAACACCACGGTCCACGTAATTGTCATGTCGCAACACGATATTTAAACATTCTCAATGAGAAAGGTGAAGACAACGTCAAACACCACGGTCCTGTAATTGTCATGTCACAACACGATAGTTAAACATTCTCAATGAGAAAGGTGAAGACAACGTCAAACACCACGGTCCTGCAATTGTCATGTCGCAACACGATATTTAAACACTCTCAATGAGAAAGGTGAAGACAACGTCAAACACCACGGTCCTGTAATTGTCATGTCGCAACACGATAGTTAAACACTCTCAAAGAGAAAGGTGAAGACAACGTCAAACACCACGGTCCTGTAATTGTCATGTCACAACACGATAGTTAAACACTCTCAATGAGAAAGGTGAAGACAACGTCAAACACCACGGTCCTGTAATTGTCATGTCACAACACGATATTTAAACACTCTCAATGAGAAAGGTGAAGACAACGTCAAACACCACGGTCCTGTAATTGTCATGTTACAACACGATATTTAAACACTCTCAATGAGAAAGGTGAAGACAACGTCAAACACCACGGTCCTGCAATTGTCATGTCGCAACACGATATTTAAACACTCTCAATGAGAAAGGTGAAGACAACGTCAAACACCACGGTCCTGCAATTGTCATGTCGCAACACGATATTTAAACACTCTCAATGAGAAAGGTGAAGACAACGTCAAACACCACGGTCCTGCAATTGTCATGTCGCAACACGATATTTAAACACTCTCAATGAGAAAGGTGAAGACAACGTCAAACACCACGGTCCTGCAATTGTCATGTCGCAACACGATAGTTAAACACTCTCAATGGAAAAGGTAAAGACAGGGATGCTTCGAGCAGAGTGGCAAGTTTCACTGGGATGGTCACGGGTAGTGAGCATACTTTGGATCTTTTCTCCAGGTCATGCCGGCGTAGTGTGTAATGAACAGGCAGACATATTGGCTAAATTTGCACCACAAGGTGGGGAATTGATACATGACAAGGCAGATGTGGTCAAGGCCCTTTGGGAACAAGTAACAGAATTAGTAGAGAAACAAGATTATTATGGCCTCGAGAGAATGAGGCATCTGGGTGTAACAAGAGGATTTGGCCGGCTCACTACACTCAGAGAAAGGCAATACGAATAACAGATTGTGACCGGTACCATCAGTGTTAGAACTCTGCGCTGGCTGCTGAAGATAAGGAAGGAGCACGTATGGGAATGTCACGAGTGATGTGATGTGAGTTCTGCACTCAACTCAACCCAGTTAAAGTAGTTAATACAAATACGGATATATTGTGTTTTTAGATCAGGGATAGACTTTCGATACAGAGTGGATAGAAACACACGGTCCTGTATTAATGTCTTACTCCAAACATGGGTAATTCACAGGTCACGGAACAGTCTAATATATTAGGGGGTGGTAGATAGGCTGCATGCAGTCGCTGTACCTAGTCTGAACTCTCTCCTGGGACGTAGGTGGGTTGGGGTTAGGGCCAGTTCTGGGGTCGGTAAAAGCACCAGAAAGCCGGAAAGCCCATTCTTACCACCCTCTGTGACGTCATATGGGATAGGATATTAAGGCTCTCCTTTAAATAACGGTCCCAAATGATCAACGCAGGAAGTTTTACGCTAACAGAGCCTCATTCATATCTAAAATTCGCATTTCTTTTGCGGCGGGTGACGAACTCCTTGTGGTCCGGGTTCACGCCCAGGGGTAGGCAGAAAAGCCACATATCTCCCAGATTTACGGTATCTATCATGGAACAAAGGCCGAAGGGTTGCGGTATCCATAGTACCGAGCCAAAGGGTTAACAACTCATGGTTTCTGGATATTAAAAAAAAAAAAAAAAATTGTGCCGGACTTCAATTTAACGATAAACTGCATTTTCGTGTCGACTGTTGGATTTGGTGCCTCTAGAATCTGCCACATCTGCCATATGCATGTATTGCTTGCGCATACTTTTGAATTTAGCCGGGACTAATTGTTTGTTGACCACTTTTTCAAATACGACAGTGAGGGATATTTCATTTCATTATCACTGGCATGGGAACAGAGCAAGGATGGGAAAACCCGATTGTAGTGAAGTTGAAACTTCGACTAAGACTAAGGATACCTGCTAGAGAACATTTTAGCCATGTACAAATGAAGCCAAATTGCAGTAAGAACCCAAGAATGCATAAATGATATGTTCACAGTCAACACAGCTGTGAGACAGCCGTTTGCCCATCCCACTTCTATTTAACATTTATCATAGTCGCCGGAATCGATGGGCTCATGTAGCCTGAAGCTCCCACGCCTCCCATAATTGTGTCATGGGACTAACCTACCCCAGCTAAGAGACCCCAACTTAGAGACCCCATGTAACCATGCATACACATGTTCTTCAAAGTAAATTATTTATACAATTCATATTATATCAAACATTGTATTGTATTTTTTGGCTATTTAGAACAGTAACAATGATGATAATAACAATAATATTAATTTTTAATAATAAATACTATTATCATTAATAATAATAATAATATTAATAATAATAATACCACGGTGCTGAATGTCAAACGCATACATAATAATATATTTGAAATAATATAAAATATAAAATCAAATACTCGAAAGGTTTACACACACACACACACACACACACACACAGACGCACAGACAGACAGACACACACACACACATACACACATACACACAGAGACACACACACACATACA